CAAAGTGGAGTGCCAACGATGACAAGAGGGCTGCTCGTCTTGTTGGCTATATCGCCGCCACCATTGATCACGCTCACATCATGCGTATCAATGACCCTCCAGCTGAGCTGTGGTTGTCACTTTATGTTGACAGTGATTTCGGTTCTTCACCCGACATGAAGTCGACAAGTGGCTTTATTATCGCTCTTCAAGGCCCAGATTCATTCGCTGTCATCCTTTGGGATCAAAAACTCAGAGAGCGGTATCAAGATCGACAACGGAGGCTGAATTTGTCGCTCTGAGCACTGCGCTGTTTGGGAATGCTATTTCTCTTTTGGCTGTTTGCCAGAAATTGATTGCGTCCACTCTTGTGCTTAAGGTCTATGAGGATAACCAAGCAGTGCTGGCAATAATTGCCAAGGGCTTCAGCCCTAAACTCAAGCATCTGGCCAAATTCCATCGCATCAATGTCGCAAGCACTTGTGAAGCCTTTTCGGTGGAGGATATCCTCATCGAGTACATCAGTACAAGCCATCAAAATGCAGATGTCATGAACAAGGCTTTGCCAGTGTCGGTCTGGCCACATGTTTTGGACCTGCTTAGCATCAAGTCTGTTCCAATCACTTAGACTTTTGTTTGCTTGCGGTCTTTTGTCACAGCTTTCTGGTTTGCTTGTGACTTCAATCTGGTATCAACTTCATTCACTGCAATCATTTGGATCCAATCTCTACTCCAACTACTGTAATTAAATTTCAGTATGTTGCAAGTCGCTAAGCGCACAGCCATGTGGATGTAACTAAGTTCCATCTGCATTCATGTCCTTTTGGATTTTGCTCAGTCACTTCCATTGGACTTTCAAGTCAACTCTCGAAGCACAGTTTGACTTTCACTGATTTCAGTTTTCTTTGGATTTGCTTTGTCATTTCCATCTATCAGTCTTTGGATTTTCAATGTCTTTGTTTGTCCTTTCCCTGGTGGAGATTGGCTGCATTAGCGCCTCTCCAGTAGCATCTGATTGGACTTCAAGCATCGGTAATTCATACACCGCACAGTTGTGCATGAAATTGCCAGGCATGCAGAGTTCGGTCACAGAACTCTTCCATATCTTGCCTGAAATTCCGCCTGAGCTAAGAGACATGGTGATTAGCTTCTTTCGTCTGCCCGGCCAGCATTCGATAGCTGCATTATGCGTTGACCTTGTACAGTTCGGGGTAAGGGGGGACTTGAAAGATATGCAGTAAACCTACAGTCTTTCATACATGTATATACCCCTCCAGCTCAAAGGTCCGCATGTCACTGACATTTGGCTCAAGATGGCAAAACAAGCAGGCCGTCTTTGCCCTTCAGTTGTGTTTGCTTGTGTTGCAGTTTTCGTGTTTTCTTTTGGGGTTTGCAGTCATTTGACCGTTTTATTTCTTATGTTTTATACAGGGGGGATATGTGTTCTTTATTCGGCATGATCGTTGTTATGATTATATACGTCTTCACCATGATTATCGTCGTCATATTTATCACCGACATCATGACGGACAGTTCAGATTATTATCACCGTTAACATAGACCCGGGCAAGCCGGCGGCGGAAGTTTCCCAAACATAAATGACCTATAGTTCAAAGACAACCTGTCCCGACCGTGTCCTTCCCTCGACACTCCACACCTCACACTGCACACTGCACTCTTCGCACTCCAAACTTCAAACTTCACACTCCGCACTTCACACTTCACACTCCACACTTCTCACTTCTCACTGCTTCCTTCACACTCCAAACCTCACACTTCACACTTCACACTTCACACTGCGCTCTCCGCACTCCAAACTTAAACTTCACACTCCACACTGCACACTTCACACTCCACACTTCACACTTCTCACTTCCCACTGCTTCCTTCACACTTCACACTTCACACTGCACTCTTTACGCCCCACACTTCACACTGCTCTAAACCTACGTGGAACCAAAAAAACACTAATGCGACAAAATGGAGAAAATCTGCGGACAAATCACTGTGGCAGCCTTCATGCAGCCACTCCAATACGATTTACGAAGTCGAGCTGCAAAAGACAATAGTATGACAAATGCAGCCACAGCACGAAGCAACCTTGACGCAGCCATTACAATGCGATCTGCAGAGACTGGGTTGCAAAACACAATAGAACTACGCGCAACGGCGTCGGAAATTGTAGCTCCAAAACCGGATCTCGACGCCAGAGCGAAAAAAAGACGATTTTGAAGCACTTTTGAAAAGGATTTTTAGAAGGAAAATCACTAGCGCCAAAATGGAGAAAATCTGCTGACAAATCACTGTCGCAGCCTTCATGCAGCCACTCCAATACGATTTACGAAGTCCAGTTGCAAAAGACAATAGTATTGCGCATGCAGCCGCGGCACCAAGCAACCTTGACGCAGCCATTACAATGCGATCTGCAAAGACTGAGTTGCAAAACACAATAGAACTACGCGCAACTGGGTCGGAAATTGCAGCTCCAAAACCGGATCTCGACGCCAGAGCGAAAAAAAGACGATTTTGAAGCACTTTTTTAAAGGATTTTTAAAAAGAAAATCACTGGCGCCAAAATGGAGAAAATCTGCTGACAAATCACTGTCGCAGCCTTCATGCAGCCACTCCAATACGATTTACGAGATCCAGCTGCAAAAGACACTAGTATTACGAATGCAGCCACAGCACGAAGCAACCTTGACGCAGCCATTACAATGCGATCTGCAGAGACTGAGTTGCAAAACACAATAGAACTACGCACAACGGCGTCGGAAATTGTAGCTCCAAAACCGGATGGATCTCGACGCCAGAGCGAAAAAAAGACGATTTTGAAGCACTTTTTAAAAGGATTTTTAGAAGGAAAATCACTAGCTCCAAAATGGAGAAAATCTGCTGACAAATCACTGTGGCAGCCTTCATGCAGCCACTCCAATACGATTTACGAGATCCAGCTGCAAAAGACAATAGTATTACCAATGCAGCCACAGCACGAAGCAACCTTGACGCAGCCATTTACACTGCGGGAACGATCCTACAGTTGCAAATCACAATGGAATTCCATCGGCAACTCATCCACCAGCAACACTTGCAATCCCATTTACATTGCGGGAACGATCCTACAGTTGCAAATCACAATGGAATTCTGTCGACCGCACATGCACGAAAAACACTTGAAACCCCATTTACAATGCGGAACCGATCCGACCATGATCCGACCATGGTCCGAGAATGATCCGACCATGGTCCGAGAATGATCCGACCACACACGAGACCGTCTCGCACCCGTCGCACCGCAGAGGTAGATCATCGACGTTCGGGGACAGACTTTGTATGGAAAAACATAGGCTTTCGTGCATCTGCTATCTCTCAAAAACGCATTTCGTGCGAGACTTCCTTCAAAACTCCATCGGCAACCACTCCACCAGCACCACTTGCAATCCCATTTGCAGTGAGGGAACGATCCTAGAGTTGCAAATCACAATGGAATTCCATCGGCAACTCATCCACCAGCACCACTTGCAACCCCATTTACAATGCGGGAACGATCCTACAGGTTGCAAATCACAATGGAATTCTGTCGACCGCACATGCACGAAAAACAGTTGAAACCCATTTGCAATGCGGAACCGATCCGAGCATGATCCGAGCATGATCCGACCACACACGAGACCGTCTCGCACCCGTCGCACCGCAGAGGTAGATCATCGAGGTTCGGGGACGGACTTTGTATGGAAAAACATAGGGTTTCGTGCATCTCCTATCTCTCAAAAACGCATTTCGTGCGAGACTTCCTTCAAAACTCCATCGGCAACTCCTCCACCAGCACCACTTGCAATCCCATTTGCAGTGAGGGAACGATCCTAGAGTTGCAAATCACAATGGAATTCCATCGGCAACTCATCCACCAGCACCACTTGCAACCCCATTTACAATGCGGGAACGATCCTACAGTTGCAAATCACAATGGAATTCTGTCGACCACAAATGCACGAAACACAGGTGACACCCCATTTACAATGCGGAACCGATCCGAGAATGATCCGAGAATGATCCGACCACACACGAGACCGTCTCGCAACCGTCGCACCGCAGAGGTAGATCATCGAGGTTCGGGGACGGACTTTGTATGGAAAAACATAGGGTTTCTTGCATCTGCTATCTCTCAAAAACGCATTTCGTGCGAGACTTTCTGCAAAACTCCATCGGCAACTCCTCCACCAGCACCACTTGCAATCCCATTTACAGTGAGGGAACAATTTCTTTGCTAAATCTTTCTGTGACTAACTCTTTCCCTCACTAACTCTTTCTTTGACTAACTCTTTCCCTGACTAACTGTTTCTTTGCTAACTCTTTCTTTGACTACCTCATATATCCTGACTACCTCTTTCTTTGACTAACTCTTTCCCTCACTAACTCTTTCTTTGACTGACTCTTTCCCTCACTAACTCTTTCTTTGACTAACTCTTTCCCTCACTAACTCTTTCTTTGACTAACTCTTTCCCTGACTAACTCTTTCCCTCACTAACTCTTTCTTTGACTAACTCTTTCTCTGACTAACTCTTTCCCTCACTAACTCTTTCTTTGCTAACTCTTTCCCTCACTAACTCTTTCTTTGACTAACTCTTTCCCTGACTAACTGTTTCTTTGACTAACTCTTTCTTTGACTAACTCTTTCCCTGACGAACTCTTTCTTTGCTAACTCTTTCTGTGACTAACTCTTTCCCTCACTAACTCTTTCTTTGCTAACTCTTTCTTTGACTAACTCTTTCCCTGACATTCTAAAAGTCCGTAACACGGAAGTTTCTCCCCCTAAACTTCCTTTGATTATGATTGTTCATCGATGTCATCGCCAGCAACGTGACTATTGCCTTCAGGGTTCATTATCTTTTTCCGAAAGCGGGAATGCTGGGTGCTATTGGAAGGAGAAACAATGAGAAACGCAATTGAATGGTCATTGTAAAGTACCCCGCTACTGCAGTTCTACCCTTTGCACGCCAAAATGCTCATTGTCTACCCTTTCCATGCAGGTTTTTTTGGAGGCGAATGAGCAGATAGACATCGAGGACGAAGACCGGCCCATGGGCCTGGGCTTGTACGAAAAATCGTTCAGAGAGACTTGTTTCAAAAAAAGACTGGATGAGGGCAACCTGTGTCCAGAGGGCAACCTGTTCTTGGTGCCCATGTGCGACACATGCAACAAGACACAAGAAACAGCCAATTTTTGGTTCGAGCTCAAACCCGGAACTATTTTAGTAGAAACCTGTGTCCGGGAGAACTATGCAAAGAAAAAACGGCGGCTGGTGGTCTATTTATGTCCGAGCAAGGATGGTGCTCGGCTTTGGCGACCTGATTGTTGTCTCGACAACAAGGGTCCGAGGTCCTCTGCCAAAAAACATTCTGGCATCATACCCAGAACCAGCCTCTTGAGCTACCGCCTGGAAAAAAAGAAACGGAAAGTAGCTTTTTGGTGCATGGCCTGTAACGATTGTGTCGAGGAGGATGTGAAGTATAAGGAGGACAAGATGGACAATTTTGCCAGGATGAGTAAGGTGTTGGTTGGCAGAGCACCTTCCGGCCGATGTTGACAATTTCATTGGCTTTGTGCTCGTCCAGGCCATTGAGTTATTGGAGATGGCAGTGCAGGCGTTCATCAAACAGCTGGATAACGTGATCGAGATCAAGGATGTGAAATTTCACTTTTCGAGCCTTCGTATGACCTTTCAGACAACGCCGGCGAACGAAGAACACCTGAAACAACTTGCGGATGAGATGGACAGCAAATCAGTGGATGAAGCCTTGATCAAAACAGAATTCGATAAAAAGAAGAAAAATGCCAATGAGGAAGATTCAAAAGCTTTAGAAGAAGCTGAACAGTATTTCCTGGACTCAATCATGCCATGTAAGAAGAAAACAGAAATCATTGATCTAGGAGGCACCTCACAAAACAAAGGAAACGCTGCCAGCATTGACAGAGCAGATCCTTATCCTCAAACCTTGGAGAGGGCCAGGACGAATGCTGCCAATGCAGCTGAGATGACAAAAAGGATGTGTGATGCCGCTGCTGAAGCAGCACATGAGATGTGTATGGACAAGATGGCTTGGGCTCAAAGCCATAGTCTCGATGCACCTCCGAAGCTCGGAGAGAGTCTCAAAGAAGCAATGATGAGACGTGAACATGTGAAGCCATCCTCAGAGATCTCTGATGTGAACCGCCTCCTCCAGATGTGCAGTGGAGGGCGGGCATTGAAGGGTTGCATACCAACCACGCAATTCTGGAGCAAAAGTCCAACTTTTTCCCTCATGGGTACTCCCAAAGATGCTGACTTGAAATCATTGTCATGGCACAAAGATTTTGAATATCACTTCGGGAGCCTGGATGAAGCAAGTGACACATTGACCATGGCCAAATGTTTTGGAACCTCGAGCATTGACAGCTTTGTGAAGGACACGCGCCGGAGCTTCTTGGGCTTTTCTGGAGGCTCAGGCAAATTTGAGTCGACCTCTGCCGAGGAGACCAAAGAGAGTTCCAGCATCGCGTTGACGCAAAAGTCTCGTGCTCAAACGGTCCACAGTCTGCGCTTGAAATCCATTGCAAGATTCAAGATCGAATTGCCACAAGAAGGACTCCCGCTGTCGCAAAGAGCTCTTGAGGACTTGCGTTCACTCTACGAGACATGGAAATTGAGATGGAAAGACCAGAGCGGTTCAGCTTCAATAGCTGGAGATCAGGAGACGCAGAAGTTTTCCGAGGTGAATTTAACAGGTGAAGTCAGTGAATCAAGCTCTAATATGTTCTACTGTAACGGTTCCTAATTGTTGTCAGATGCTTTTGGTGTTAACAGATTGCTGGAAACAAACTGTGTCAAAGAATCTGAAGCCGTGTCCAACTTAATGATGTTTCCAATGTGTTCATCATGTGTTTGCTTCCAGGAGCTCAGTAAGTGGTTGCGGCAGTTTTTCGAAGATTTTGGTTCCCATTTGACTTCTGGCACTTTCTCCTTGGGAGGAATCTTCATTCATCAAGGTGTCACAGTCTCAAATGAGAAACTTTCTGCAGCAGCTGCCATGGATGCCTTTTCCCAGGCCCGATCAAAATCCAGCAGTTCTGAGTCCAACTCGGGCTTCGATGGAGCAGTGCTGGGGGATGTCATCAAAGATGTTGGCAACAGCATGGAGCAAATCGGTTCAGAGGCCGCACTGTTGGCTGAAGGCGCAGTTACAGTGGCGGCAGTGGCAGAGGGTGGGCCTGCTGCTGCAGGTGTGGGTGCACAGGCCGGCCAGCTTGCAACCGCTGCTGTGAAGATGCAGACGAAGGCAATGTCAGCCATGACGAAGAGTGTTGGGGCAGTGATGAGCAGTATCAAGGCGGGCTGAGCGATTAAGCTGCTAGTTGTGTTGCTAGCAGTGATGAACAGTATCATCGAAACTCATCAAACCCTAAACGTTGGTCAACCACAATAAGGTCTTCCGCTTCAGGGTTTGATGAGTTTCGATAAATTTTGGAAGATTCTTCAAGTTTTTTCTTCCAAACGAGGTCTCAAGTTCCGTGGGGCAATCCTCCCAATCTGCGAGCCAAACGAGTGAGGAGGTCCAAAATGAGTCTTCGGCTCGCCATTCACAGACAGCTACCTGCATCACCTGCAGCACTTACGGTGGTGCTCCTACACACGACGTCCAATCTTGGACTGACTCCATCATGCAGGATGCAGTGTGATGCAATTTATGCATTTTGCCGACCGATTTGCTTTGATTTTTCCGACGAGTCTGTCATGTTTGTGAAGTGTCAGACAGTTTTCCCCCGGGAAAGTAAAATGAAGTGTCAAATGTGAAGTGTCCCATGGGTCCTATTTGCGTTGGATTGTTTCTACTTCCACTCTTCTTCCAGCCTTGCAATGGGCAGGAGCGGCCAGTTTTTCCCGAGAGCGCCTGCGAAGGGTTCTTCGTAAAAAAGCAGCCGTTGTAATACACCTGCTGATCTACATCTTCACACCTTCACATCTGCTCATCTACATCTTCACACCTTCACATCTGCTGATCTACATCTTCACACCTTCACATCTGCTGATCTACATCTTCACACCTGCACATCTGCTGATCTACATCTTCACACTTTCACATCTGCTGCTCTACATCTTCACACTTTCACATCTGCAGATCTACATCTTCGCACCTTCACATCTGCAGATCTACATCTTCACACCTTCACATCTGCTGCTCTACATCTTCACACTTTCACATCTGCAGATCTACATCTTCACACTTTCACATCTGCAGATCTACATCTTCACACCTGCACATCTGCTGAGCTACATCTTCGCACCTTCACATCTGCAGATCTACATCTTCACACCTTCACATCTGCTGATCTACATCTTCACACCTGCACATCTGCTGATCTACATCTTCGCACCTTCACATCTGCAGATCTTCTCTCTCTCGCTCTTCTTTCTATCTCTCTCTTAAGGCGGGGGCGGTGCCGCCGGAGCGCCACGAAACGCAACCCTTTCGCACGAAATGGACGTTGGACGTCAAAAACTGAGGTAAAATTGCAATTTTGATCGTTGGACGTCAAAAACTGAGGTAAAATTGCGATTTTGAGGAAAATTGCGATTTTGACAACCCTTTCGCACGAAATGGACGTTGGACGTCAAAAACTGAGGTAAAATTGCAATTTTGATCGTTGGACGTCAAAAACTGAGGTAAAATTGCGACAGATTCGCAGCACGTGCGGCAAGAAGTTTTGCGCGGAGAACGGCGTAGTGAGCAAGGCAACGAAGCACAGGTGCCCACTGTGCCGGACGCTTGTTTGGTCTGCGCGTGAGTCCGGGCGAATCCAAAGCAGGCATATTATAACGCACCGTGTGGACGGCCGTGTGGGCAGAAAACTTGGATAGCAACGTAAGGATACAAACCCAGACACAGAGCCTGAGCTTTGCTTTGGGAGCGTACGTCGGCCTTGGTTGCAGTTCGAAAGCTTACTTGGATGGCCCACGGGGTTGCTAAGTTTTACAATGTTTTACAGAAGTTGTCGGACTTAGCTAATTATTTTACATTGTTTGCTAGATAGGCTAATGACTTAGCTAAACCCTTAGCTAGAGGGTTAAGATAACCATTTAGCTAAGGGTTTAGCCAAAGGGTTAGCCAACTTGGCTAAGGGTTTAGCAAAGCAGCTAATGTATAGACAATAGCATTTTTTGAAGAAAAAAATCAAATTGTTTTCATTTTGTCTTTGAAAAAATTTCTTTTTCAATTTTCACCATGTTTTTTTTAAAGATTCCATGGTGCATCAGCAAGCAGTGTGTAGCCAATGTGGCTGGCCAGCATAGAAATTGTATTTACTGGTTATGCAGCCAACACGCATCAGCTTTTTCTTGAGCCATGCAACAGCGTATAAAGAGGATTATAACTATGTACATATACTAGTACTACCTATAAATACCCCCCGCCGCCCGCAACGTAGTGCAGGCAGGAAGACGAGGAGGTAGCACCAGCGGACCTGAGACAAAGACAAGTCAAAATTATTAACATGTACATAGTATGACTCTAGCTGTCGCAAGAAATATGATGTTCAGCACAATGGCAACTTGCAAAAGGGTGCATGGAAAATTAGCTATACAATGCACGAAACTGCAAAACATGAAAACACTCGAATGCAGAAACGGATGCATTTATTTTGGCTCGGATGCAATCGGATGTACCTGGCATAAAGACATGGCCGGACTCCCGTCACGGCTTTGATGCACATGACATTTGAAAGAGTCACACGGACATATCAAGACACGCCTGTACAAAAGCAATGCCCTAAAAACGAATGCACATGGCCGGGCTTCCGCCACGGCTAAACTTCTACTCCTAGCCATGGGGAAGATTGGCAAAAATGTGCTTCAAGGCAAAATCGAAAGACAAGTTTAATGAGATTGATCTCACCGACGGATATAATAGATTTGAATTCAACAAAATTTTTAAGCTGATATGTTGATATTTTGATAGCCTTTTACCAATAATCCCGTTCAACAGTGCCATCAGGAAGGGTGATCTCAGTGTACATAGTGCCATCGGCTTCTTCCACGACACGTTCTCTGATCACATCATGGCTCGTCCGGGTTTCATGGGTCGTAGCATCAATGATTCTTGTGTTGCGCCCAGGACGATAACTTGGAGGTGGAGGTCCCGTGGACGAAGATGCACCACCAGATGGAGGTGGAGATCTTTCACGTTCACGATCTGCGGCATACCCTCCCGAGTAGCTGCGTCCTTTTCCCTTGCCTTTTCCTTTGGCAGGTCCTTTGACGTAGCTTGTGTCGTGAGTTTTGCCCTTGGGATCGTTCTTTCCTTTGCCCCACCTTCTGTCCTCGTACCCATAGTTCCATTGACGCCAGCTGTCAGCATAACGCCATTGGTCGGCATACCACCCTGATCTGCGATGGCCGCCACTCTCGTCTCGGGCATATCCCCATTCTCCTCTTTGAACACGACGCGTGTAGTGAGCGCCCATGCCGCGATAAGGACAGTCCCTTTGCCAATGATCTTGGGCTCCACATCGATAACAGCCCTCCTGTGGCTCATCGTATGAGGACATTCTCCAAGTTGTGGCCTCGGGACGATATCTCTCCGTGATCCTTGGATCGAAGTTCCGGCGTGGGTTGTCAATCAACCCTTCCGTCTTCACTGGACCCATGGCTGCCGGGAATGTCACTTCACTTGCCTCAGCAAGGGGCTCATCAGTGTGAACATTCCAATCCAAGGCACCGTGATTGTCGGTCCAGTTTTGGATCGCGAAGTTGACGAGATCGTCATAGTTTTCCTTGAGCGGCTGATCATCGAGGACCAAGAGGCTGCCAGAGAATCCAAAAAGAGACGGCGCGGGTTCCCCTCGCGCTGGAGCCAGTTTCGAAGTGTAAACTGCGAACTGAGCCAGGCTGAAGAACCTGCCAGAGTGGCACACCATTGCCTCCTTGGATACGTCGAGGGGCTTTGCGTGGTCTCTGTTCTCAAACGGCATGAAGACCAGCCTCGTCCTGACGTCAGTGCCTTTGCCCTCTCTTCTGGCCTCAAATGATCGCCCCACGTCCGGAGAAATGCAACTTCCGAGTCTGTGGAGGAAGTCACAACATGGAGGAGTAAGTTGGGCAATACTGCAATTATACATAAAAAACGGGTCATTCTCCATCCTCTCTTTGATGGTTGCGAAGCCAGTCTTTTTGAGCTTTTTGACTTCCTTCTTCGCCCCGTCTTTCATGACTCCGAAATTGGAGCGCCCTGCACGGTTCCTTTGACGTGCCTCAGATCCGGCCCGGTGCTTTCTGGGCTGCACCTGGCTAACTTGGCTGAGGGCGAACACGCCATGGATTTCCGCGGCACGGCTTTCCAACCGGCAGACTTCAGTTGCCACACGATTGTCACTCCATGCCTCCATCGACACGTAGCAAGATGGGCATTTGGCAGTGCCATCGAGCATGTTGTGGTCGCACTTTTCACACTTCCTGAAGGGAATTGTCACCTTTTGTGCGGTGACGCAGTCTCGGTATTTCAGATCTTCGATCTTCATCTGAGTGATGACACCGGCCTTCCCTCCCGGGTGGCGACCCTTTCCTTTTCCTCGGTTTTTGCCCTTTCCCTTTCCACGTCCTTCGATGACTTCGGAGTTGGAGACCGCCGCATAGTAGGCAAACAAGTAGTTCTTCATCTCCTCAGATTCGATGCCTTCGGCAGCCTCCATGTCACGGATGACACCTGAAAGGGCTTTGGGCTTGACCAGCGAAAAGAATTTTCCGGGCTCCACTCCTGTCAAAAATGACGACCACTGCTCAAAGAGCAAATCCATGCTTCTGCCACGCTTCGATTGGGTGAGGGCCTGAACAACACTGTCGCCCTGATCCTTCGATCTCTTGACCCGTTCGTTGTAGCTTTTGCGTCCGGCAGCATATGCTCTATTCGACCAATAGAACTCCCGTTCGGCCGCATTGTACACGCAGATGATGGTCTCGTTGGGGATCCAATCTGGAGTCATGATCGCCTCGTCCGTTCGAAACAGACGCGCCCCCACTTGCATTGCCATCTCCACGTCAATCGCTACATAGAATGGCTTTCCGGCTCGCGTCCCCGCGAGCTTCTTCATGTTGGCATCCCATGGGTGCGTCGCGATGAAGTAGCTGTGGGCGCGTCCTGAAGACTTCGGCCACCCTCCCGGGATCAAGCCATGTTGGATGATCTGTGACACAACCCCCTTGTCGCAAGAATGGTAGATAATCCTGGGGAAGCTGTCAAATTCCGGGACGAGATCGGGTCTGAAATTCGCTCTGGGGATGTCACCCGCGTCAACCTTTTCCTTTGTGAAATCCGGATCCAATGAGTAAAGATCACGGATCATGGGAGCAAACTTTTCCTTCTTGAGCACAAAGGCATTGTGTCCTTGGTAAGCTCGGACACGAATCGGCTGCCACGGCACACCCTTCCAGGTGGCTTTCTCATTGTCAGGTCGACAAACTTGCAACTGGAACCTGCGGGTGTCGCTGCTGCGAATGACTTGAAGAATTTCCCAATCAACCACGTTCCTGATTTTGTTACCTAAGTGGTTGCGCAGCTCGACCCAATCCATTGACAAGTCAGTGAAGTCCATCTCCGGTGATGGGTAACCATCAGCAAGGGCGTGGCCACGGAGGAACATCGACATTTTCCCTGAGATTTCTCGGAGACGGCCATTGGCATTGATGTTCTTGTACGGGATCCTGCTGTTCAAGTCAGTCGGATCAAGCCATACAGAATCTTCAAGCCTTTCCTTCGCCTGCTCGAGCTTGAGCTTGGCTGCATCATCGATCATCCCAGTGGGTGCCTTGGCTGTGTGATGGCTCAATGGCTTCTTCTTCACCTCAGGCTTGGGCTTCACTGATGACGATGCGGCTTTCTCAACATTGGCAGGCCTCCCGGCGAGCTTTGACCCCTCAGCTGTGGTGGTGTTGGCTTCGGCAGCAACAGTCTCAGAAGCAATGACGTTGCCTTCCGTTTTCTCAACATCAACAACAGGCACAGGGTCCCCCCCGGCAACAGCCCCCTCAGCCTCAGGCGCCTTGGACTCTTCAGTCGTGACCTCAACCGCAGGGTGGCCGGTCTCTGGCTCTTCAATCACCATGACATCGTCCAGGGCCCCGGCATCATCCTTGGTCTCGGCCTCGTTCTTGTCAACGTCCATGGCGTCGTCCTGGATCACGATGGCGTCAGCGAACTCATCAACCGGCTCCACATTTTCTTCATTGCCTGCCCCATAGTCCACCTCAGTGTGGCTCTCGACATTGTCCTCACGATCAAAGATGTTGTGCACAATGTCGGGGCGGGAGTCGTCGATGGCCTCCCACTCATCGAGTCCAGGGATGTTTTCCGTTGCCTCGCTGTGCACAGAAGACCAGTCAGCATCGGCAGCGTCATCAAAATCTGCCTGGAGATGCTCCCTCAACCTGGCTTCTTCCTCATCAGAATCCACGTCGTCTTTAAAGACTGGCACAATGGACTTGAGGTCACTCTCCGTAAACTCAATGGGTTGCGGCGCACCCTCCCGGGTGGCTTCATCCTCGGCGACTTCATTCAGTTCGGCCATGTAGTCCATGAGATGCTCATCAGCAGTCTGGGCTTCTTGGGCGAGAGAAACTGGAAGTGCCGCTTGGGTGAGAGCCGCCTGGACTTGGTCCGTCTTGGAGAGAGCGAATTTGAACTGGGCCAGGTTCGGGTATTGATAGACGATCTTGATGCGCTCCTCGGGGTCTGCGTCCAAGAATGACGCCTTTTGGCGCAAGAGTGGCTCCAATTCTTCGATCTGTGTCACGATCAAATGGGCTCGAATCATGGACCTCAAGAACTTTATCATCAGTGTTCGATTCGATGGGAGGTCCGTCATGTGGAGTTTGTCGTACCTCGTACTTGCCATGGAGGGCATGCACGTCGAAACGCACCTCACACCCCCAGCAATGAGATGTTCGAAGCAACGACCCATCTCCAGCCCATATGATGGCGGGAGCCCATACGCATAGGATTCCCCACAGCCGAAGACGACGATGTCGAAGATCATCGTATGCCGTCGCATCTTGATGATTTCGTTCATCGCGTTGATGACCCTTTGATGCTGCTTCTCAGTGAATTCGGCAGCGACCTTCCGGTCGGCAGGAGTTCGGCTGTACCGTGACTGGTGGATCCACGTGCATCCACGATATCCACCCTCACCGTACACGTCGTTACCTGCCCACCCAATGAGGACCAGGGTCGGTATCTGTGGGATGCCGTCCTTCTTGCACGTCTCGGCAATCTCGTCCATGGCTTCCCAGATACCTGTGTGAATGGAACCAAGGCCTTTCCCCCAACGCATTTTCCAATGGACCTTGCGCACACCAGTAGGCGGCGATTGTGCAAGGATTTCCCCCAGGCTGATCACCTTTCTCTTCCTGGGATCATCTGGATAATCAACCAGGGCCGTGGAGGAATCACCAATCACAAGCACATCGACCTCACCTTCCGGCGGGCAGTCCGCATGGCCGAAAATGGCCAAACAAAGTCAGGATACCCTTGTAGGACTTGAAATTCTTGTCGATGTCCGAACAAAGGCATGTGTCGATCACAATGTCAACCGGCTGCTGGCTCCCGCCGAGCGTTTGGACCCCTGTAATTCCATCTTCATAGGCGACAGATACACAGGAAGACCTCAGCTCCTTCAAGCGTTCCTCCCATTGCACGATGCGATGATAGACCGAGACCCTCTCTTCGTCGGGCACCCAGCTTGCCAACGCCTCGGCATTCTCAGGAGGACCAGCCATCGGATGAATGCGAACAGCGACGAGCGTGATGTGAGCTTCAAAAGATGCTGATCGGAAGGCCGAGTGAACAAGGTCCGTCATGATGAACGTGTACCTTTCTGTGGCCTTAAGATCCTTGCCTCTCCCTTGAACATGCTCATGTGAGTGGTCACATTGGAACTTCGACATTTCACATCCCAGTGACGACAGGTTTGTGGCAATGGTCCAAGGCTTCTTAATGGGGATTTCGTCTTTGTTTCTTATTCCGACCATGCATCCATGAAAATTGAACGTAATCAGTTGTCTTGAGTTCAAAAACTGTGCAACTTTCCTCAACTTCCAGTATCGACAGTTGCGAGGCCATTCAATTGCAATAAACACTTCTTTCTTTATCAAGGACATGAAATGCAGGAAGGCTGTCCAAAGTCCATGGAAGATCTTGACATGTCTTCTAACTTTGGCCGCTGCAGAGGGGTGTTTAAGGTTAACATATGACCACGACGTTCCCCCCGTGCACGGTATACTAACCCAGACAAGTACTTCACCATCAAACTCATTGACTTGTCGGGCAATTTCCTTCCGAACCTTCACATCAAGAAGATCATTCTTTTCAGTGAATTGCAATATGTGGCATCCCTTTGATACTTCACGGGGTTCACTCAACTTGGACTCCTCGTGGCAACAGACCTCCACCAGTAAACGATTAGGCTTCGGACCGGCTCGGAGTTCCCTCGAGCAGCCAGGTGCCGCAGCAGCCTGATTGGGTCCGGTGGTCTTGGACTCATTTTTCTTTGGGCCCTTGGGGATGACATGAACATGAGACAGTAACGCCAACGCAAATTTCCATTTCTCGGAATTGGTGAATGGCTTAGTTAGTATGTCTGCAGCCTGCATCATTGAGGGTCCATGAACAAGTTTGTACCACCTTCTTTTAAACTGACCCTCCTCTGTACTACCAGTTTTTTTTCCTGGGGGTTCAGTACGCTTTTAAAAAAACACTATTTTCCAAAAATCTAGCAGACAGTGGGTGAGGGTCCCAGGGCATGATATGGGGCCAGGAATAAAATATCATACCAAAAAAGGCCCAGAATTTTTTTCCTGAAAGCTTCCTGACGTACAGTGACAGGAAATCAATTTCTGCCTGTTGTGATTGAGGGGGGGTTGATCTATCAGTCTGTGTATGTAAGGCATCAGGAAATCAATCATGAATGACTCTGATAACGGGTAAGTTTGTAGAATTCCCAAGGTTAGTAGCCAGGAATTTGAAGGTGGATGGATCAAATGGGAGTTTACTAGAACATATCTAAATGTCAACCCCAGGAAAAAATGTACCATGATTAATTGAGGGGGTATGATTCTTTACATGACTTTGCAAAAGGGTACAAACACATATGTTCACCTTCACCAACCAAAAAAGTGACTTCAAGAGGCCAAGGCGCAGGGGTCAAAATTAAAATCCAAGGGGCTGGACCTTTTTTGACTGAATACTTGCGGATGATTTTCAAAGGTTGGCCCCACAGGAAAAAAAGTCGCATCACCAGGCCAATCATCCACAGATAGGACATGATGGGACGAAATCAAGAATTTTGTGTCAACGCGCGCCCAAATTGAAAAACACATGTTTTTTTGCTGAAAATACAGTTGTCCTTGCAAAAGGGTACAGACACACATGTCCAGCTTCACCAACCAAAAAAGTGACTTGAAGAGGCCGAGGCACAGGTGTCAAAAATAAAATCCAAGGGGCTGGACCTTTTTTTGACTGAATACTTGCGGATAATCTTCAAAGGTTGGCCCACAGGAAAAAAGTCGCATCTCCAGGCCAATCATCCACAGATAGGACATGATGGGACGAATTCAAGAATTTTGTGTCAACGCGCGCCCAAATTACAAAACATATGTTTTTTGCTGAAAATGCATTTGTCCTTGCAAAAGGGTACAACCACATATGTTCAGCTTCACCAACCAAAAAAGGTGACTTCAAGAGGCCGAGGCGCACGTGTCAAAAATAAAATTCAAGGGGCTGGACCTTTTTTGACGGAATACTTGCGGATGATCTTCAAAGGTTGGCCCCACAGGAAAAAAGTCGCATCACCAGGCCAATCATCCACAGATAGGACATGATGTGATGAAATCAAGAATTTTGTGTCAACGCGCGCCCAAATTACAAAACATATGTTTTTTGCTGAAAATGCATTTGTCCTTGCAAAGGGGTACAACCACATATGTTCAGCTTCACCAACCAAAAAAGTGACTTGAAGAGGCCGAGGCGCAGGTGTCAAAAATAAAATCCAAGGGGCTGGACCTTTTTTTGACTGAATTCTTGTGGATGATCTTCAAAGGTTGGCCCCGACAGGAAAAAATCGCATCACCAGGTCAACCATCCATAGATAGGAAATGATGGGACAAATTGAAGAATTTTGTTCCAACGTGTGGCCAAATTGCAAAACAGGCGTTTTTTCCTGAAGATACATTTGTCCATGCAAAAGGGTTGCGCATTGCCGTGGGCATCTGCCGGACCGCACTCGTGAAGCCGTGGATTCTGAAAAACTGCGAGCTGTCAGCCGGGAAGTCAGGTGCCAGGAATTCATTTTTTCCGTATCAGATTGAGGGGGTGAAGATATGGCATGTTACCAACGCAAGCATCCAGGAAATAACTTTTTTACTTGGATATCAGAGGGGTAAATTTATTGGATGTTGGACGTTGGGCACCAGGAAATTAGCAAAGAAAATTCAAAAGGGTGGTTGGAAGTGAGATTTCGGCTTCAGAGGTTAGGAGCCAGGAATTTAAAGCTCTAAAACCTCTCTCAAAGGTTAGGGGTCATAATTTTAGACCAATTTTTTTCTAGGACTGTACCCCACGTTGGAGTACAGACGGGGATTAAACTGCTCACTTAACCAAGATAAGTTAACCCTTTGAGTCTTGTCGGTGTGTCTGAAAGTTGGGGACTTGCCATTTTCCAAGATTCTAATTGTTGCCTGGTTGTCTTCAACAAAAACTCCTTCAAGGCTCTTCGGGGGAAAAAGGGAAATCATGTTTTCTCCCATTTTTTCCATTCCAATGAATTCCCAGTCTGTGAGTGCTTCTCTGAGCTCATGGGACTCCATGTTGTAGTCCACCTCATACGGACCATAGACCCTGAAGTAGGTCTTGCCCTCCCAGATGTCTCCCGATGTAGAACTTCGATTCCGTCTCCAATGGTCCTGACGGAAGTCGATGCCATCCTTGGTGACCATCAACGTAGTCCTTGCATTGCCAAGGCGGTGAACCGGCAACGGAATGGTTTTGCTGGTGGTTGGGTCAAATAAGGATGATCTACTTTTGGGGTGCACTCTCACTAGAAGGCGTCTATGTCTTATGAATTCCCAGTACTCTCCATCCTTTTCTTTTTGGGTAGTTTCTGAAGTGTTCGGCAATCCTCCCGGAGTGCTATGCTTCTTGGCCTCATCTCCCCCCGCGTTCTGGAGGTACGCCCATAAACCGGAGGAAGGTAGACCTACAGCACGCAGGGATATATTTGCTGCAACCACTTCAGATTCAGTACTGGACATTGACACAGATGTCTGTTTCTTTGAGAATGCTGTTAATGGGAAGTACGTATTTGGTCCAATAAGCACTAGGAAACATCCTGTGGTACTACGATTATCGTATTCCCCTGCATGATCTGCGTCAGCAAAACACCACAGCCGGCATTTGCATAAAGGATCACCTATGGAAGCCTTCAACTTCACATCTATGGTTGAGTCTATGTAACAGACAAGTCGATGCAATGCCCGGTCACAGTCGGCTGACCATTTCGTCACACGAGCCGCTAAGCCTTGGACGGCTCTAAGTAAGTCGTACCTTGCCATTCTAGCTGCAAAGACTATCTTCATTAAAACCCTTGCAGCTATTGGTGCAAGTACTCCTTTCTTTTCGGACTCATCAGTGACGGGCCTAGCAATCCGTTCTTCATGAAACGGTGTTGCAACCTTTTTGATCGGCTTGGCATCCCTACCAGCTAGTTGAACATATCGGTCCACACATGATTGCAGGAAGGGCTTCATGTCGTATAATATGACTGTTACTGGTTTTGTCATACATGGTTGATCATCAAACAATTGGTCCAAGTATGAAAAACCTTGTGCTCTGGCTTTCTTTTTGGCTTCACCTTTGTCCCTCTTAATTGATGCCAGTGCAGCCTTTGGATCAGCACAACCTTTGGTAAAAAGATAGGTTGCTCCCACCCACATGTTGGCATGTTTCTTTCCCTGGGTTATTTTGCCTGACTCATCAACATATTGATCCCATTCAGGAATGGCGTCACCTTCCGGTGAG